AACCCACCTAGGGTGGTGGCACAGCCTCCCCAGGAAGTCAGCAGGCAAGCTAACGTTTTGTGGCAGCAGGTCTGGAAATCCTGATTTGCTGTGTTGCATGAACAGAGGGTTTGTGCAGCCCTCCTCAGCCTGGCTCCAGGAAGGTGAGGACAGCTCTCTGGCCTTGCAGTGGTATGGGTCCCAAAAGTGGTCAGAGCTGCCAGCAAAGGAGATTTATGGCTCTAACAACTGAAGGACCAGATGTCCTGAGAGTGGTTGTGCTTGTCTGCTAATCCGCTAGTAGAATGGGGAGAAGGAAAAAAGAAAAAAAATCTAACAAACCAACAGGATCATAATGCAGATATGATAACATACAATACTGTGTACACACACACAACAGCCTATCGGTGTTTCCTTCACATACCTATATTACAAGCCACTGCACAGACAGGCTGTGGTACCTGGCTAAACTCTCACAAGCTTAGGCCACAGGGACAGGATCCTGTGCCAGTTCTGGAAGCAGTGAGGAATGACATGAGTTTTGGCTAGGATATCTGGCAAAGACCCCTGAGATTTTAATGTTCCTGCCCTTGGTTTTAAGACTGTGCACAAAGATTTTATTCCTGCGGCATCAGTAAAAACGCCTTTGAGATGCTGTTCCTACTCTCTGCAGCAGCCGCACTGTCCTTGGAAGTTCCTTTTCCAAGCACGGCTCAGCCCAACACTATTAAACATGAAGGTCATAGATGGAGGCTGTCTGGATTCCAGCTCACAGGGGTAAGGGACAGATACCACTAACCAATCCCACTCTGAGAGATAAGTGGCACTAGGAAACACCTTAGGCACCCCTATTCCTTTCTGCCAACCCCACCATGCCAGGCCCCAGAGCTCTTACTGTTCTGGCAGATCCAGGGGTTCTTCTCCCTGGCTGTGACTTCACGAGCTTCTGTTTCCTCTTCTTCCTCACCCTCTGAGAGCAGGTCAGAGATCTGCTGCTGCAGCTCAGGACTGATGTTGTTCTCTGACAGGATGAGTGTCCGTAGGGCCGTGGGGTAATTCTCTACCATGTCTAGCAAGGTCTGAGCAGAGAGAGATAAGCAGGCTGACAAGAAGCATAAACAGCAGCTAGGTTCAACAGCAAGAGTTTCAGCACCATCTCCCTGCAAACTCCAGCCCTCCTCTTTCTACCTCCACCATCCCTTGGCTTTGACCTCCCTTTGCCAGACTTTCTAAGAGCCTGAGGACTTCCCATATTCCTGTGGGAAGAGCTGAGTCTAGACTTTCTTGCTCTGTCCAAAGAGAAGGGGACTGCTCTACATCCTGTTGCTCCCACATACCCAGCTAAGTCCCATCTCTCAGGGGAAAGCCTATGCTACCATGCCTTGCCCCCATCTGTACACAGTGCTTTAGCTCTGATCCTCCACAACAAATTCACCAAATAGAGCTGTGTGACTTTTCCCTGCTGACTTGAAGGAGCCAAAAGAGCCCCAGCGCTGGAGCTGTGGCTTCTGAGCTCCTCCTGTGGCTGAATGCAATAGGACAGGAAAGGAGCAGCAACATTTCTAGGTGGAAGCGAAGGAAGGTATTCTGCTCCTATATAAATGGTCAGGACCTATTTCCTTTAGACTGCAATGATGATGTAAGAGTAACAGGTTTCCTTACCTGGGCTGATTGGTTGGTGAGTCCCGTTCCCTCCAAATCCAAAACTTCAAGGGTTCGACTGGAGGCCACAGCAACAGCAAGCATCCCGGCTACCTGGTCACCTATAGGAGAAGCAAACCAGGGCTGTGAGCAGTGCCTGCCTTCACTCATATACAAGCCCTGCTCTTGTGAGGCTGTCATGGAAACACCCTCTGCAGATTTCTGCCATTGGACAACTTCTAAGTCTTGGCTACCTAAGGAAAAAAAAGTTGTTAACTGAGGGAAATTTATTTTATACCCCAAGGAACTGCATCTACCCACATCTCCTTCCTACTCAAGGCTGCGAGGACCTTTCACCTTCCCTGAAAAGGATCTGGGACTCACAATAAGGACCTGAAATAGCCTAAGGGAAAGTCAGAGTGTGGCTGAGGCCTGTGCCAGCTAATAGGCTGCCACGTTGGAAAGGGCGGAGACTTCTGGGGTGGTGCAGCAGAACTGGGAGCATTAGAGATCAATGCCAGTGAAGGAAAGAGACACCAGGGTGTTCTCTAGGAATTTCCTGGGGACACAGGACTGTGACGCATCCTCTCCTGAGGAAAACCAGGCTGACACAAGGTAACACCCTGGGGTCTTTGCTGTTCTGGAGGGTGACCTGGTCTGACAGGGTCTGGTGAGGTGGGAAGTGCCCAGCCCATGCCTGGGTTAGGGAGGCATGGCCTGTTCTCCTTCTCACCACCTCACAGTGGAGCTGGAGAGAGTTGGTTTCTATGGCAACCCATGCCAGGTTCTCCTCCTTCCCCCTGCTCCATGGAAAAGAGAAGGGAGGAGCAAGGGGGGCTTTTAGGGCCTCTGCCATGCTGATGTTGGGCCCTGGTACAAGGACTTCAGGTACAGGGAAGAAGTGAAAGGTCAAAAATGATGACACACAGGCAGGCCACTACCTCCTTTCCGCTCCTTCAGCAGGTCTCATGGCCACATTACACTGGACAGCAGGGCTGGCTTCCTTACTGCTGTGGGCACCCATCAGGGTGAGGTCTCTGCTGGGGGCCAGGCAAGACAGTGCAACAAGCTGCCCTGTCCTGCTGGTGACACTCTGCTGCCCATCAACAGCTGGGTTCCCAGCCACCCACCAAAGCAAATAGCACAAACACAGACAGGTGGGAGCATAGTATCCCTTGGTCCCCAGCTTACCCAGGGGGTTGTAGTCCAAGTTCAGCACTCGGAGCTGGGAGCTGTGAGCCACAGCAATGGCCAGGCGGCCCCAGCCTTTGCTCGTGACACCTGGGTTGGCACTCAGTGTCAGCTCCTTGAGGCCTGGAGAGGAGAGAGAAGCCAAACCAGAGTCTGAGGGTCACCAGAGCAGTCAGAATGAAATGAGTTCAGCTAACCAGGAGATGTGTCTCCTGTACTCCAACAGACTAAAGAGTTTGGAGTAGGTGGCATGAGGTGATAGGTCAGCGAGGATCACAGGGACAGCTTAAACCCAGGAGTGGTGACAAACTGAGATAACAGAATCAGTGGCACTGTGAACATGGGCAGGCAGAAGTCTGTGGAAAAGACTCTGAATGCCAGGGAGAGAGGGAGTTTTACCCGGTATATGATAGTTCCCCTTTTAAGTGGGGCCTCAGAGCTCTAAAGATCATCCTCTGTAAAGATCTGAGCCTTAGCACTGAGGCTCTGACCATCTACACACTCCATGTGTGCACCCATCTGCAGGGATAATTTCTGGGTGCTGACAGTAAAGCCAAGAGTGGGGTGAGAAGCACACCATGTATTTATCTGTGGTGATTATCGACAAGCTAGTGCAAAATAATAAATGAAAAATCCAAGTTGTTCCCTCCTCCAGTATCAAGTGCTCCTGTCATGAACCAGAAGCAACCTGTTGGTCCCTGAGCAACAAGCTGCCTGCAGGACAAATGATAGCAGAAAGCCCATGGGAACTGCTCTTCTATCACTTGGTTTTTCTGCTTTACATGAGTTGGGAAAATAAGTCCCTCAGCCCAAGTTACAGAGCCTGCCTCTCCCAGGGCTGAGGATTTCGGCTGTGTCCATTTGCTCTATGTAAAGCTCCATTGGCTTCCATGCAGCCCACAGCCCTCGTGCTTACCAGACTTAGCCCCGTCAGGTGGCAGGAGTCCACAGATGAGGTTGATGCCTTCATCACCCAGCATGCAGTCTCCCAGGTCCAGAGCCACCAGCGAGGGGTGGATGGAGAGCGCAGGGTTGAGGAGAGCCAAGCCTGCATCCGTCAGGGGACTCCCATGGAGACTGCAGAGGTAAAAGGGAAATCACCAAGGAGAAAGCCCAGGAGCTAGCTAACCCGAGGAGGAGGGAGAAGTAGAGGAGAATGATTCTAATGTCAGATGGGGAAAATGTGCTAGGAAGGCCCTGCAGAGGGGCTCAGCCGGCAGCTGCAGAGGCACTCCTCTCCCAGCAGGGATGAAGGGCAGTGGAGGACACTGGCAGGGCTCAAGGAGGTCCTTCCCAGCACCAGGGCCACCCAGGTTTGGGGAGACAAACGAAACCACGCCAACCAGATGAGAGCAGAGTTAGGTCCCCAGGCCCAGTGAAGGGCAATGGAGTGGCATCTGCAGCATCAAGGACGTTGCTCCTTGCGCCGGGGCTGGCCGGGAGCCTCTGTCCCCATCAGGCTGGGCAGACCCTACTGGGCACCCGCCGCTTCCCCGCTACTCACAAGAGGGACTGGACGGAGCGGTTGGTCTTCAGGGCCTCGGCCAGCTGCTTGACGCGGTTGATGTTGGAGACGATGCCCAGGTTGAGGTTGAGCTGCGCCAGGGAGCGGGACTCGGCCACCCCCCGGCAGACGTGCCCGAAGTCGCGCTCCGAGAGCTGGCAGCCGCGCAGCGACAGCAGCCGCACCGAGTTCTCCCGCAGGCTCTCGCAGATGTCCCGGATCTCCGCGCCCGACAGCGTCTCCCCGGAGATCTGGATGGACCCAGGCAGCATCTTCCGCCCGCTCGGGGAGCCGCAGCCCGCCTAGCCCGCGGCGCCGAGAGGGAGCCGCGCTGCGCGCTGCGGGCCGGGGCGAGCGCCAACGCCGCCGCCACCGGGCGCTGCCGGCCCGGCCCACCGCGGCCCCGGGGGCGTCACCGCGCAGCCTTACCGGCGGCCACCGGGCCGCCCCGCTCCCCGCAGCGGGCGGCGGGGCCAGAGGGAGCCATCGGCGTGGGCTGATCCGGAGCGGGGCCGGAGAGAGAACGCGCCGTGCCGACCCGCCGCTCCAGCCGGGGCCGGCAGTAGCTCCCGCCCCGCCCGCACCTGCGGGGCCGCTCCGCCCCCTCCCTCCTCCCGCCCCACGCAGAGCGGCCCGTCCCGCCCCACCGGTTACGCCGCCATTTTGTGCCCCGCCGCCACTCGAGGCACGCGACGAGCGTCTGCCGTCCTCTGGTACTGAGAAGAGGGTGTGCGGGCGAAGTCCCCGAGAATGGGCCGAAGTCGCTGGGCTATGGTGTGCCCCGGGCTGGGCAGTAACCGCCCGTTGGCTTTATCTGCTGAAACCCGCTGATCCTCAGTCTTGGTCCCGGCACGTGTGGCACAGCGGTCTGCAGGTCAGTGTGAGCCGTGTCTGGTGTCTGGGGCAGGCGGGTCGGGGCCATGGGGTTTTCTGAGTGGGTTCACAGCACATCGTATGTATGGAGAGTGTGGTGGAGGATGGGGCTCGAGGCTCCTTATTGTCCCTTGGGTACAAGGAGGGGTTGGAGTTCTGTTGGCTACTGCTGGAATGAGCTCGTGTGGGGTGGATGGCCCAGGGTCGGAACTTAGGGCTGAGCTAACAAAAATAATTATGGAAAAATGGTGACGTGCCATCTTCCACAGCTGGTTGCATTGTGGCATGAAGGCGTGCAAGCCTGCACACAGCAGAGGTGGTATCAGTGGGGTTGTGAGGAGCTCCTGGAGGATTAATTTAATGTGATTTCCTCTCATAGAAGTAGGGCAGCACGTGAAGGGTTCTGGGCCACAGCTGGGTGCACAGAAGAAGCAGAAGAAATGAGGGCATCTATCATCCTTTCAGTGGTTTTCTTCCTGCAGCAGGGAATGATGTATGCTGGGGTACAGCCTGGAAGGAGGGGGCTGGGGGGATGGACGTGTCCTCAGGTGGCAGCAGCGTGCCTCAGGCTCATGGTAAGGGAGCAGACCTGCCTCATGTCTTGTCCCCTGGCCAGTGCAAGGAGGTAGCTGGAAAGTCTGAAAGGCTTCAGGAAGTGCTGTAGGTTTGTTCACCTCTGCAGCACGCATCCTGATGAGAGATGTGAGGGATGTTTGTGATGCCCTTTTAATTTTCTGATATGGATCAGGAAATTGCTCTTTTCCACCTTCTTGTAATGCTGTAGTTGGAGAGAAATATGAAGCAGGGCCTGTGTTGTTTCAACTCCAGTGAGCTGAAAAAGGAAGCCAGTGATGTGGAAATTAGGTTAAACCACATAAGTAGGCAGCTTTCTGCACATAGCTAATCTGCTAAGGAGAAAGCCTGGCTGCTGTATATGGCAGCACTCAAGTGAATTCCAGTCCACTGGGTAACTAAGGGACAAACCCAAGCTTCTCCGCTTTGCTTGCAAGCCATACCATGAGAGAGGAGTGGAAAAACAGAATATGGAGGGGATTGTTAAGCAGTTTTTCTCCTGTTAAATGGAGGAGCGGGTCACCTGAGCCACTAGCTGCATGTTATGTCCTAGATGAGACCAAGGGTCTCTGATGTCAACTCTTATGTCAACTCTAAAGCTTTGACTGCAGCCAAACGTATACATCACCATGCATATTGCATTTCCTGTTGCACATGGGTGCCCAGGCTTGGAATTGCATCTGCAGGCTGCACCAGGAGTGAACCACAACCTGGCAGTATATCTGTTCTGGGATATGAACAGCAGCTGTCTGTATCCAGCTGGTGATAGTTTTCAAAAAAGGAGTTCCTGATCTCTGAAGCCATTAAATGGTTCAAGTAAGAAGACAATCCTGTATATTGCAGGGCTGCAGGTGGTACAGGGTGAATGTCATAGTGGTCTGTCTAAGTAACAGCTGCTGATCAGCACAGGTTGAGTGGAAGACTGCACTTAGTTTCACTTGATAATCACCTCCACGCACTAATTAACCCATGCTTCCTTCAGCAGGCTGTTATTAGAGAGGCACTTGGAAGAGAGCCCCTGGGACATGTCCCACTTCAGTTGACAGCAGCAGCCTGGAAGCACTGCTTAGGGCATCAGCCTGGCTTTGAAGCCCTAGTGATGGCATCTTCAGTGCCTGCACTCAGGTGCAAGAGTACATCAGGAAGATGAATATCCTACCTTGCTTTAAGCTCATATACACTGGGATTAGTGGTAAAGGAGCAAGTGGTTCAAAGCTTGTCTCGCTAAGCCTCACCGAGGGCTTTGCAGAGGCAAATTTGGCAGTGGTATTTTGTCGAGAGCTAGGTATTACTTCCTTGTCATGTGCAGTTACCCAGCAGGTATGAGGAAGGTGATTTATTGTTTTCCTGCTGGGGCATGGAAGATGAGAGCTGACCCCCTAGACTGATGCCACTAATGGCTGACATATAAATAGGGAAGAACAGCAGGTGATGAGCAGCTAGAGTGAGACTAGACATGAGGAGGAAGACAAATGGGAGAACAAACAGAATACCTGTAACCCAGAACATAACTAAGGTTACACCAGGTGCAATGGACTGTAAGAAGGGTTGGTCTCCAGGTACTGCAGAGGAGAGGAGACCATAGAATGCATCGATGTTTTACCTTCCTCTTTCTAATGTGACAGCCTCATATTTATTTCAGCTTTAATTAAAAAGGCTTACACAGTTCCTGTAGCATTACCCTTCCTCAGCAGCCACAGGTGTGAGGAATTACTTTAGGTATGCTGCAGGGGAGGAGGGAGAAACTTATTTTAGATTTCCTGCAAAAGCCATGGCAGAAAACAAAGGCATTAAAGGTGGAGAGTGTCTGGCATGATGGGGATGTAAGGCTTGCACTGATAACTAGAGGGCTTGTGTAAAACTGACCTGCCCTCCCACAGGGACCTGACTAAGGCAGTGTGCTCAGCCTGCTCTAAGGAACTGCAGCACACATGCATTTCTCTGCATGTCCCCCTCTGTCAGTAAAAGGAGAAAGTCTGAATGTCTCAGCAGAGCACCAAAGTTCTGGTAGTAGAAAATGTTTCAAGCTCCAGCTGCTGCACAGAGGATGACCTCTGTGGAACTGGAGCAGAGCAAGTCCCACAGCATCTGAGAGGGTGGTTTGTCATTACTCTCGTCATCTGTCCCTAGCAGACAGGACACATAAGCTGCACAGGGAGAGCATGAAGACTTCTCTTGTAGCTCTCCTGTACTTTGAGTGAAAACACAGGTGCAGCTTTGTCGTTCTGACCTAGCTAAATGACAGGGCATAGAAAGGGAGCACAGGTCTCAATGATGCCCACAGATCAGCAGTGTTATTTTGTCCCTGTTTTTCTTCTTGTCTGGAATTTTTCTAGTGGCAGTCATCTCTTTCTCCTTTCCTTTCTCCCTGCCTGCACTTGAGAAGTTTTCACTGAGAAAAACAGACCCATTCTATGCTGCCAGGGCAAGAAATGGGCAGTCAGAAAACTAGAAACTAACCTCCCATAGAGTTATAGCGAAGGGGAATGCCAGACTTGTAGTTACAAATTCTTATAAGTTTGAAAATAATGGAAATGCTAGGTGCTGAAAGTGGCTTAATTGCTCAAGAAACATGGAGATTGCTGGCCCAAATGGTGTAGCTGATGCTCCCAAGCAACTTGTTCTTGCGTTCTTCAGCCAAAATAAATTGGGGGCTGGGGGCGAAAGTCAGAAAATGGGTCTACTGTGCATGTGTTAGCAGATTAACTTCGTGCTCTTGGAAGGGAAACAAATGATGAACTCAGGAATAAGCAACAGTAGAAAGGAGGTCTGTGACTGAAATGCTCAAGTCATGTCCAGTGACATTGTGGTAACTGAAGTGATGAGCAGCCTGACTGCAGTAGCTGGCACTGCTTTCCTCTTTTTCATCACACCTTGGCTTTAGTTTGAATCTCATCTCAACAGTACTATCCTCTCCCACTAATAAAACAAAGGGGAGTGCAGTTCTTGATGTTACCTACCTTGTGCTGATTGTAGCCACACTGAGAGAGGATTTTTTAATTTTTATCTTCAGTATGAGTGTCAGCTTCTTAGGTGTGGCTCCTTTCTTCCAGGAGGGAGACTGAAAGCCAGAAACCAGCCCACATCTTAACACTCTTAGACCAACGAAGGAAGACTACAGCTGAACTATTCAATTGTGAGCTACTGCAGTGCAGGTAAGCCTAGCCTGAGCTGTTCTACTTACTTCCCTATCATTGCTGGAGCCTCCCTGCTCACAGACATGCTGACTGCAGTCAGAACTGCTGTCTCAGAGCAACTCAAGCAGAAGGGTGATAAAACAAACAGAAAGGTGTGATAGCACAGGGACAGATATATTTCTGACGTACAGGAGAACGGGCAGTGAGGTGAGATAGCAACTTGACCAAATGGAAAGAGAGGGATCAATCTGGAACATGACAAGGAAGAGAATATGGTTAAATATCATAATGTTTCTTAAAAATCTGCAGTGTAGCTGAAGTCCCTTTTAGGCTACGGAAAAACTGCCCAAGACAGGTCACCTATCCTGAAACACTTGGAAATATGACAGCACAAAAATGCAAAGAGTTATGCTGTCAGTCTAGACAAGATAAATCACGGCACAGAGACCCCACAACACTCTCCCATTACATAAGTAGGCTCAAACATAGGACACCATTCAAAACCAACATCAATTTAATTCTTCCCTCTTCAGGACAGGAACAGAGCAGACAGTCCTGGAGTTACATGAGCAAGCATAAAGAGGGGTAAGGTACTAATCGAGCTAGGAAATCCCAGCTAAACATGCAGGCAATAGAGCCAGACTACTCAAGACAGCCCAGATCTGAGTGGGTGGAAGAGCGTCGTCCTCCTGAGTCATGGAGGTGCTGTCCATGCAGCTGTGCAGAACTGCAACCCAAAGGACAGGTCCAGGAAGGCAAAACAAAACTCTCATCTCTGTTGTTCCGTTCCTTTCCTAAGAGGCAGCAGGCTACTACAGCCCTATGCAGCCCTGAAACTAGTGAAGGAAGCAAGTCCGAGACTGTGCAATTACAGGGTCAATGCATTGGCTTTGGCTGTTGTATTTAATACAGCATTGGAAACAACTGGAATGTCTCTGGCAACTCTCTGAAAGGGTGGCATGTTGGGTCCTTCCAATGTGTCCAGGATACCTGCAGGAAACAGGAGGAAGAGGAGAGTGGCAAGAATTAGTTCAGAAGCAGGTGGTGTGTTTCTTCTTGTTTTTCTGTCTGGCACTGAATGGCAGAGCCTAGGACTTGGAGGCAATGGGAGGAGACATCTTGCCCCTCAAGAATAAACAGCAATAAACACCTCCATCCGGAGACCACAGCATGCAGATCAGAGTTTATCCTTGGGGCAGGGCAGTGTAGATCTTTTCTCTCTGAGGGTGCTAAATCCAGCCCCTTGTCATTTGACCTGAGCAAAGACTGCTAGGAACTCTCCTCTGCCAAAGCAGCCTGACAGATCATTTCTGCTTCACTCCAGCACATAACCTCCTCTTAGACCAACTGTTTGCTTTCATTTTGAGATATACCTGCAAGGCTTATATTAGGAATTGCAGTTGGAAGTGTGATATGGAATTTTTTATCACTGCAATGCAGTATTTGGAAGGAAGTGCACATGCTGATGGCACTTCCTGTCAGTTACCCTCTCAAGACTGATAATCAGTCCTGGAGATTCTTGAAGAAAATTGCTTGGAGTATATTCTCCCATATTTCATTTGCTGAGATGTTGCATATTAGGGCTGAGAACCTTGGCCACAAATAGGGAGCCAGGAAAGAACAGTGTTTAGCTCTAAAAGGACTTGTGATGCTATGCCAAAATTATGCAATTTCAATTTTTTTTTTTTAAAGGAGACTAATAGTTTGTTAAAAGAATAACAACAAAACACAAAGACCACTGAATCTGTATAGCCTGGTAGAAAGTTCTGACTGCAGAGGATGCAGCTTTTGCTGTGCTGTACAACTCAAGATAATAAAGGTGTTAGGTAAAGAAGGAAAGACTTTAATGACATATTTCCTCATCAGAGTAAAGCAGCCTGATTTTAGCAAGGTTCAGGAAGGGACTGGACAATAAAAAAAAGTAGTCACTGCTTTAACACTTGTGGGGAAAGATGAAGCCTGCTTGCAGCTTGTCTTGAGTACTAGTACTGCACACACAGACTACCCCACATTAACATGCTGACCTATTTTGACATCTCCTGCTAACAATGGCAGTGCTAGTCACTCTTGGGCATGGAACTGGCCCAGATGCCCTTAGGTCAGTTCTAAACTGCCCATCCTTTCTCTCTGAGAAAGGAAAAAGCACCATCTCCTCCTCCCCCACATCTAAGAGGCACTGCCATCGTGTTTCCCTTGCTTACCTTCTACCACCTTGTGATAAGCAAAGTGCAGATAGAGCAGGAAAAGCATATGCAGAGCAGCAAGAGTTCCACACAGGATGAGCCGCTGGGTATGCCCCACCGTGCGTGACACCAACACAGCCACCTAGGAGAGAAGTGGAGACTAAGAGACTGGATAACTGCAACATCAGCCTCTGGCACTGCATTCAGGAGCACACAGGAGGATGGTTTAAATAGTGAGAGCTGGTAGAAACACCACTCAGAGCCTTTCTCACAGGTGGCACCAAGAAATTCTGAGTAATCTGACTTTGTTTTGGGTAGATGAATCTTGCCCAGTTTCACCAAGTGTTCAGGAGGCTCAGGCAAGTTTCTCTGGAGCAGCAGGGGACATAAGACAGCAGGCTTATTGCAGCTGTCAGAATGGGTGAGGAGAGTCAGCCAGGCCACACACTAGTAGCCATATGACTCAGAAGCATCAGGCTATTCTTTAAGCACCTTACCCAGCTGTGGAATCACTTGCCTAGCCCAAGGAACAGAAAGTAAGAAACACTTTCCTCCTCTCTGCACTGCCTGTCACTTACCATTCGAAGTGTAGAAAGTCCACCAACGACTAACCAGAAAATATAAAAGAGGGAATGGAAGTGGATATTATAGGTGACAAGCAGAGTGATGCAGTGTCCAAAAAGGCCATAGCCCTGACAAAACAAAAACATCCATGTTACAGTTGTCACCTGCACACAAAGGGTCATTGAGCAATGAGCAGCCTACGTTTGCAACATTCTAGCAAGGCAGTACTTCACAAACCGCATGCTCCCAGCTAGAATGTCAAACAGCACTACAGTTTTAACAGCAGCTCACACCCAGCCAATCTGTCTGAAAAATTCACATGATTGTCAGAGATTGCAGCAATCTAGGAAACAGAAGGAAAAAGCTTCTGATCCCAGAAAAATGGAAATCTCCCTAAGTGGGAACCTTGCAAGCAGAAACAGCTGCTTTGTGCCATCTCTGGGACAGGTCAGGTCCAAAGAGCTTCTTGGATTTCCAAGTTGTCCCGATGCGACAGGATTATGGTCATCTGGGACCACTAATTTACAAAGATGTTTCCAGGTTTCTAGGAAAAGCTCAAGGTCACCCTCCCTCTGGAACACCCTACAGCCAGCATCCATCCTGGGGCAGCCCCATCCGTACATACCAACAGCGACAGCATCTGCACCATCGTAATTTGGGCATTGCACAGATATGCCAGGAAATAGATGAAAGAGGAGACGCCCAACCAGTAACCAAAGCAGGTGCCAATGGCTGTGCCCATCAGTGTGCCTTCCCTCTGTGAAGACAGCAGCAGTTTGAAGAGAACTCAGAGAAAGGCCTGCCAGCACTTAAGATCCACTGCAGAGAGTACCCAGAGCTTTCCTAACATAATCACATAGCTAGCTTAACAGCAGGCAGGTTGCCCCATGATCTACACCCCAACTCTCCCAGCAACAGAACATCAGACTTTCTGATGCAACTTTCCTCCCCTTTCTAAACCAAAAGGTGCTTCTTCAGATCAAATCTGCTTTTTATCAGGATGCTGTTGTGACATGGAAGAGGTTTCCTCTCCCTTTCCAGTGTCATTATGGCTATCCCAAACCCAGTCAAATCGCAAATTAATCACTGAGACTTGCCGTACAATTATAGTGTCCGAGGTCTTCATCCCATGCAAAAGGATGGCCACCAGTGTGAAGACCAGCATGAGGGGTCCATAAAGCTCACCTGCGATCTTCTACATGTAAAGAGAGAGATGGGAAGGTTTGGTTTGTGCTCGTGTCTTCCAGGCTCTCCACCCTGAATGGCATAATGAGCATCTCAAGAGAGTTTTATCACCTGAGGAACATCAGCAAGGCCACTGCTGTCAGAAGCCACACAGAATAGGCTGTGTGGTGAGTCAGAGTGGTGTTAAACAGGATGCAGAAATGGGTGAAGTCTAGAGTTCTAGAACTGTACCAGCATTAAAGGTAGCAGAAGGGTAGCAGCGTTAAAGGTAGTGCTGGCACAGGCTCCGCAGGGCAGTGGTCACAGCGGCGAGCTTGTTGGAGTTGAAGAAGCATCCAGACAATGGCCTCAGCCATATGGTCTGATTTTTGGGTGGTGCTTTGTGGAGCCCAGAGTTGGGCTTGGTGAGCCTGGTGAGTCCCTTCCAACTTGGGATATTCTATGATTACAGTTCTGTGAGAATGGGGTTTGGAACAACTGAGGAAAGGATTTACCAATATTTTGAGGGAGATGATTATCTAACAAACTTGGATCCTTAATAACACAGACTAATTAAATTTGAAGGGTCTCTGCTGAACAGTCACTCAGGCCATGGGAGAGAGAACTCACCTGTGGGAAATTGATCATCTTCACGGGAACCATGGACTCCAGCAATCTGCATTACAGCAAATCAGGGAATGGCATCAGGAGAGTTAATAAGATGCTTCAAAAAGCAACAGATCCCGTACACCCACCGCCAACGCTTCCTGCTGACTCGTGGGGGACAGAGAGCGTTTTTAAAGGGTTACATGAACTAAGTAAAGGCAACCGTGCCGTCGGGGGCTATAGCTTTGCTGGGAAGGATTCACAAACCCACTGCTGTGGGGGCCAGCCAGCCAGCCAGTTCCAGCCCTGCGTGTTCCCTGCCCACCTGGTGCGCACTTGGACGGGCTCCACGTCGAAGTAGGGTCGTAGGATGTCGATGTTGGCGTAGAGGCTGAAGGCCTTGGAGGCCTGCCTCTTCCCCACCTGCCACATCTGCGGAGAGAAGGGCGCGTGCAGCGGCAGGGCCGGGAACGGCGGGGGCGGTCGCGGGGCGGGAGCACGCTCACCTGGTCGGCCACCTGCCGCCCCAACTGCCCCTGCAGCCCCTTCATGCCCAGGAATTCGCCGTCCTCCTCCCCGCCGGCCCCCGCCTCGCCCTCCGCCTCCTCTTCCTCCTCCTCCTTCATGCGCTGGTGCATCTCGCCCATGTCCTCGAAGCTGGAACCCGACGTGTCATCCATGTTCTCCATGTCGATGACGGCGGAGCCGCCGCCCTGCTCCGGGGCACAGAGCGTCAGCGCCCGCCCGGGCCCCGCTCTCCCCGCCACGGCGCCCGCGCGGGACGGCCCCACCTGCACGTTGTCCTCAAAGCCGCCCCACTCGGCGGGGCCGTTCCTGCCGCCGCCCGGCGCGGACATAATGCCCGGCCCTGCGAGCCACCGAGCTCGGAGGAAGGAGGGGGACGCGGACGTGACGGTTCCTCGGGCGCCGTGCCGGATCTCGCGAGAGAGCATGCGAGTGGCGCCTCCATCTTGTGTGCGGCGGCGCGGCGCTGCCGCGCCTGGGCGGGGCCGGACTTCCCGCTTCCGGCGGCGATGGCGGCCAAGCGGAGCACGGACGAGATGCGGGAGCGCGTGGTGCTGGGCGAGTTCGGCGTCCGCAACGTGCGTAGGGCGGCGGGCTGCGGGGCGGCTGCCGCCTCGCCCCCCGCTCCCTCACGGGCTGCGCCTCCCGCAGGTCCACACCACCGATTTCCCCGGCAACTACCCCGGCTACGACGACGCGTGGGACCCGCGGCGCTTCGAGGAGGTGAGTGAGGGCGGCGGCGGCGGCGGCGGCGGGCCCCCGTGGTCGGTTCTGGTGTGACGCGGCGCGGGGCCCGTGCAGGCGTTCCGCGTGGACGTGGTGAGGGAGGAGGACGGCCTGCTGGAGTTCGACATGGTGGGAATCGACGCGGCCATCGCCAACGCCTTCCGCCGCATCCTGCTCGCCGAGGTACCGCGGGGCTGGGGCGGCTCCTGGGGGAAGGGGTGGCGAGAACGGTGCCGGTGCGGGTGGATAGTCCGTATGTGGGTACTGTGGAAGGCATCTTACCGCCTTGGTCTCTTGTCTCCCTGAGGTGCCAACGATGGCTGTGGAAAAAGTGTTTGTGTACAACAACACGTCCATCGTGCAGGATGAGATCCTGGCGCACCGCCTGGGCCTTATTCCCATCCGGGCCGACCCTCGACTCTTTGAGTACAGGAACCAAGGTGAGGGTCTCAGGTTAAGCAGCGGTGGTGAGGGTGGAGCCCATAATGAGGAGCCAGGTCACGCCATAGGAGCATGAAGGGACCCCTGAATACCATCTGGTCCAAGTCTCCTGCAGTGAACAGAGACACCTACAGCTAGATCAGGCGCTCAGAGTGCTGTCCAGCCTTGCTTTGAAAGTCTCCAAGGACAGGGCATCCACTGTATCTCCGGGCAACCTGTTTCAGTTGCCTCACCATCCTCACTTTCACCGCTCTCACTTTATATCTAAAGCAAATCTACCTTCTATAAGGTTTAGCCCATTTTCTTTTGTACTGTCACAGCAGATCCTGCTGTAAAGTCTGTCCCTTTCTTTATTGTATGCCTTCTTTAGGTACTGAAAGGCTGCTTCCAGGTCTCACTGCAGCTTTCTCTTCTCCAGGCTGAACAGCCCCAGCTCTTTCAGTCCATCCTCATAGAAGAAATGTTCCATCCCTTGGATCATTTTTGTGGCCCATCTCTGGATATGCTTCAACAGAGCAGAAGTGCAATTCCATAAAGATACTGTTTTGCCCTTTCCAGGAGACGAAGAGGGGACGGAAATTGATACTCTGCAGTTCCAGCTGAAAATAAAATGCAGCCGGAATCCTCAGGCAGCCAAGGAATCATCAGACCCAAATGAACTGTATTTCAATCACAAAGGTGAGAGCTCTTTCTGCTTGTCCTAAAAGTAGGTGCAGCTTTTTGTTTTTTCTCTTGTTCACTTTTTTCTTTCTCTCTCTTGGGATTTAGCCTTGTGAGCAGAGACAGCCAATTCCCTCACAGTATCCAGAGCTTACTTTTGCCATCCCCAGTCTCATACAGGTCAGCAACCTGTTTTCTGAGGCAGCAGCTGGCTGATGTTTGTGCCTTCTCTTGGCAGTGTACAGTAAGCACATGACATGGGTGCCCTTGGGGAATCAGACAGACCTCTTTCCAGATGCTGACTTCCGACCTGTCCATGATGACATCCTCATAGCACTGCTGCGACCTGGCCAGGAAATAGATGTGCTCATGCATTGTGTCAAGGGCATAGGTGAGTGCTGGGTCTGGGCTTGGGAGCAGGTGTGCTGGTGCTTGCACTTGAGCACAGCTGTGTGACAGGAAACAGTGGAGAACAGGCTTGACCCTGAGGCCTGCTCTCACCCTTAATTCTTCACTCTTTGTACAGGTAAAGATCATGCCAAGTTTTCTCCTGTGGCCACAGCTAGTTATCGACTGCTTCCTGACATTACTCTCCTGCAGCCTATTGAGGATGAGGCAGCTGAGACGTTACAGAAGTGCTTTTCCCCTGGAGTCATCGAGATCCAGAACATCAAAGGTGCTTTCTTCCCAGCTGTAAAGTGCCTTGTTCCTAACAAGTGTTAGCAGAGTCTGAGTAGAGACAATAGAGAGCCAAACCATGTAGGGAAAAAAAAACACACTGTGATGTTGTCTTGCTAATCAGCAACAGTTTGTGCTATTTTGAGCCTGGTTGTATTGGCTGAGCGGCTGTCCCACACAGATGTTTTCAGTGATGAACTGAGATGTCTCTGAAATGCTTAGGTGTGTCATGCCTGTCTGTAGAGCCCCATGGTACTCTTTAGCTGTCTGGGTAGCAAGCTTGTTCTTTGTAGCAGCTGAGCATGGCAAGGACTTGTGTCCTGCCCAGGAGTACATACAGGCTGTGTTTGGCTTGGAAATGTTCAAGAAAATGAATTCTGCCAGGCTGGAGTTTTGTGTTAGGGATGTGCTAATTCTTCTATATGTGGCTTTGATGCCTCTCCCGTTTGAGGCTTTTGTGACCCCAAGGTACCCATCTGCTGCCGCTGCCCATCTTGTTTTGTTTTCTCCTTTTAGGAAAAAAGGTGGCAAGAGTAGCCAATGCACGGTTGGACACATTCAGCAGGGAAGTCTTCCGACACGAGGGTCTGAAAAACCTTGTGCGCCTAGCAAGAGTGCGAAATCATTACATCTGTAAGTGGCCCATTTTCTGTAGAACAGAGAGCCCTATTCTGCTTTGTGCAAACAAGCAGGGGCTGGCCAGAATGTGTACTTTCGTCTCAGTCTCCCACTTCTCCCTGGCATCATTGGTCTTCCTACGTTTGTATACCTGTGGGGACCCACTGAGATTGTGGTTTTGTGCAGCTTCGGGGTAGGATGTGTTCGTGCTTTTTGATGGCTTATTTCTTCCAGCTGCAAAGTTCTGGCTTGCAGAAGTACAGCGTAAGGGAAGATGAGGGGCAAATGCTGGAGCCAGCTGCAGGCTGAAGCTGCGCAGTGGCCGTGCTGACTTGTATCTCTGTGCAGTTTCAGTGGAGTCGACAGGTATCTTGCCTCCAGATGTGCTGGTGACTGAAGCCATCAAGATACTGATGGGAAAGTGTCAGCGTTTCCTGAATGAACTGGACACGGTGCCTATGGAGTGAGCAGGCTGTAGCCAAGAAGCACAACCCTGTGCTGCTGTTTCGGGCTTCCTACTCTGGCCTGCAGGAGTGGTTCTTCTGCCCTAGGCGTAAGTTTTGAGATGGATTTGTTAAGAGCCCTGGGACCATCTCTTTGAACTTGTTTTATGTGTGACGAGCCTCAGTGAGGAGATGCACTGAAATAAAAGCTTTCTTTTACCTCTGTCTGCTTCTGTGCAGTTAACAATTGTGAGACTGTAACATACAAAAAAAAGTGGCAGCAGGTCTGAAGCTGAGTAGTATTTATTTTAGATTGCAGGCAGTGTGTAAAGAGTATCAATAAGGCAGTGTAATAAAGCTCTTAGCAGCAGGCCCATGAGAACTTAATAAATCGCTGTCAGTTTATGTCTGTTTTGAAGATGTCTCAGAATAGTTGTGTGGAAGCTGTGTTGTCTTATAGTACTGGGCTTCTGTGTATAGTAGGAATGGTGGGGTTTAAAAACATGCTATAGAAAAACTGATTGTCCTTGTTATGTATCTCAAGGTAAGGCATTCCTTTCTGGGCATTAGTTTTCACCACCCTCTTCTCTCTTTCAGTGATGGAGTTTTTTGGGGTGTGGTAGAAGGCAAATGTCAATTAAATGCCTCTACCACAGGAAGCCTGGGATAACATGCAAGGTTAGCATTGAGATGAACACTGCTATGGTGGAAGTCTCTGGGCAAGCTGATAAAGTCAGAGAACGGCTGTGAGCAATGGTACATTCCAGCTACTTAAGGTAATCTTCACTACAACACTAGGATCGAGCGTAGCAAATCATACTTTCTACCTGTTTCACTGTGATGTACTTATTCATACTGTATGCATTGTTATAGGTCTTGGGAGTGGCTACGCTGTAGGGAATGCTGTGTTCAGGGCAAGGCCAGTGGATGTCTAAAAGCAGAATAGAAACAGGATGACCCTAACTTGCCATTCTGAGTGACATCACCGACCTGTCTCATAGTCCTGTGTTGTGTTGCAGACCCATACCTGCCAATACCTTTAAAAGTATTTTTTTTTTCCCCATTCTTTTTGAATTTAATTAGCTAGTCTGGAATAGTGCATCTCATCCCTTATAGCATATATTGACTGTATTCGTTGGCTGCACTTTTTCTGGCAGCTGGAATGGGGAGGGCTGAATACAAACGAAGTCATGACACCATGGATATGAAACTGGAATAGCTTTACTGACATTCAGAGGTGTAACACAACCAGTTCAGAGACAGCTTTAGATTTAAACATTCCTACAAAAAAAAGGTTCTAAAAACCATTTAAAAAAAAACCCTTGTGTCTAGCATGAAGTCACAGAATGTTAAAAATATCACAACACAATAAATACACCCAGCCTTTGCTAGAGCCAGGAGCCACGTCAGCTCAGAGGTTAAAATGTTTGAGGCCAGGAGGAAAGTAGAGGATGCTGGTGGAACAGCAGGGGCAGAAGGGTGTGTAGATTCCCAAGGCACACTCATCTTTTCTGCATTCCAACCCCTACCAACCCAAATTTTTCAGTCCCATCTGCCCCAGCAGGATTTAATACTTGGTTCTTTTTAACGGCAAAATGAGCTGAGCCTTGCAGCTCCTGTACCAACGTAAGCATATGCTGAATGAACCATGTTGTGCTAAGAAGAACCAACTTTGCAAACCTTGTTTGATACAAGCCTCACCTCATCTGAAACCCAGTTTCTGTCCTGGCTCTTCCCTGTAAGCTGCAGTACAATCCCCACTCCTCCTGCCCCACTACACTCCTCTGAGAAGTACCAGGCTGGGTGAAAACACAGACTCCTGTCACCTCCACAGCAAGAGGGGGAGGAGATCTCATTTGTTTTGCAGGTGCTTCAGGTATTGGTCCAGATTTTGTGTACCCTGCACTGGCCGTCATCAGGGCATGGTAAAGACAAAAAAATAAAATCTGTCCTGCTCCCCCTTAAGGATATCCAAGAAAAGCTACCACGAAGTCAAAGCCTTTCATTTGGCTATGGGTAGAACAAGTTGTATGATCACATATATATACATACATATGTATATATATGTATGATGGTGTCTGCCTCCCACAGAGGAGCTGTACCTTAAAAAGGCTGATCTCAAGGAGATCCTAGAGCACTGCAAGGCTTCCTTGGCACACAGCCCTCAGCCCAGCATCCTGGAGGGAAATGGATCCACTAGAACATGAGTCCACTAGAGACAAGCATGGTAGGCATGACAGCACTGCCTGATGGATCCCCTGCAAAGCCTGGCTACTAGCACCCACAGAAAGATGAAGGTAGCCCCTTTTCACATACTGCACTATACTTTGCACTAATCCTAAACCCCAAAGGATGAAGAAGTGGAGTAAGAGTGACCCAAGGCTATAGGATGACCAGGTTTTTTACCTAACAGTCTATGGGCTCAGCTCCCACCTTGCAGAGACACAAAAGTCTAAAGATGCTCATCCAGTGTAGGGGAAGGGAAGGAATAAGAGAAAGCTTAACAGACTGGAGCAGATGCCACCACAGACCCCATCCCATTGTAAGGAGGAGGATGGGACAGGACCTGTAAGGGGCTTTATTGAGACAAATGCTCTGAGAGGTGGTAACAAGGAGAATCTAGTGTGCTTACTATGAGAAGAGATGAAATACAAAGTAGGGAAGGAGATGGCTGCAGCATCTCAGGCTCAGGGCTCAAAGAGCACAGTGAGATCTTCTCCATCCTCATTTGTCTCCAGCACATCTGTCTCCAGTGATGGCTTCACCTTTTTGAAGAGAGATGGGAGGTTCCGGATATGAACCTCCTTGCGGAACTGCTCCCCAAGTGGCTTCTGCAGAGGACAAACAGGTATCAGTCTTCACCACCCTCAGCCCCCAGTCAGCTCAGGATAGCGTGCCTGCATCTCTGAGGTGGGGGGAATCTCAGACCTGGTCTTTCCCAATTGAACATCAAGGTAACAATCAGCAGAACTACTACCCCACGTTCTAAGTCAGCTCATCAGGATCCAATTCCACCATCTTCACAAAAGCCCAGAACCCACTTCACAGATTTGTTCAAATGTTTCCACAACCAGTTCCCTACAGGCACCCCTGTCTAAGGTATCTCAGTGAGATGAGGGGGCAGACAGAATCTGCTGCAACAGCCTCTTGGCTGGAAAAGGGGGTGGGCAGGGAGAGCCAAGCAAGCTGACTGCCCTGATGCTTCTGCAGGGCATGGGGATTAGATGAAACAGGTTTTCCCCCAGGATATCACCTACCCCAATGCAACCCGTTATGAGGCGTTTGAAATGATCTTTCCGGCGCTTGTCTGCCACTTTCTGCAGCGTTGGGTTAAGAAGCTTTGAATCAAACTGCTCCAACGAGTCCCTCTGGATGTCTGGGATCTGCTCCATCACCACCTTCAGCTCAGCATAGCGAGGACGCTGCAAGGAGAAGCATGGTCAATGCAGCTGCCCTCCCTGAGGGCCGCTGGTTCCTCTGTGCCCCTCTAAGCAGACAAGGGTTTCCCACCAACCCTCAGACAAGCTGACATGCCGACAGTTTCTCACCAAGGCCTCGTAGATCTGGAAAGCCAGATGGACTAGAGCTGCCATGCAGCCATCGTGCTGCCCGTGGATCTGTAAGCCCTTCAGCACACTGGTGAAAAACCAGGACACGGCGTCGGGCAGCAAATTGCCTGGAAGCACCTGGGGAAGAAGCATCATCAGCACAGATGCAGGATATGACACGACTGTCCTCCTACAGCAGTTCAGCCTTCTCAAGGGAAAAGGTACCCAGGGGTGAAGCAGCCACGCTTCTCATTCTCACTACTTTCACAGTTTCCTCTCCCAATTCTGCCAGAATGTACCCACACCTTCCTGCTGTATGTACCTGTTTGAGCAGTGGCCAGCAAAGCTGTGTTGTGGTTCTTTGGCAGGACAAGGTGTCTTTCCAGGAGAGGGATGCATAGGCAGTGATCATCAAAGCAGTGCAAACATCCTGAGAAGGAGTAAGAGGAGTAAACCAGTCAAGAGATGATTTCCACCTCTAGGATTTATACCAAAAAGCAGCCAAGAAGCAAACCAAAGAGACTACATCCTGTGTGCTGCCGCTGCTCCAGCTGGAGGTGCTGAAAAGCACCTAACGAGTACCACAAGGTGCAGCAGCTGTGCAGAGTTGTTCCATCTGAAGCCAGGAGCCCAGCACAGGGAGGCAAATCCAGGAAGCGCTGAGGGGGCTGAATGCCCTCTGCCTCACCCACAGAACTGCTGACACACTGTAGCTGAATGTTACACTGGATTCCAAGCCCTCAGTGCTTTGTGGCTTCTGCAACAATTAAAACAGCCCTCCAAAAACACATATGGTCTGAAAAGAACTTTCCCACACTGGGGATGCTGAAGCACACTACCTGCACCACAGAGATGCAGGACAAAGAGCGCACAGAAAGGACGGTGGCAATGAAAGCATGCTCTTACCTCCTGCTTCATCAGACACTTTCCAAGCTCTGTCAGCTCTGCGCTGGCAGGAGGAGTCACATCCGTGGCCATTGCTTCATCATCTGCACAGGAGAGAAAAGCAGCACTGTGAACAGGGCTTCCTGAGGACTGAAGGAAGACACTGCAAGATCTGAGCTGGGAACCCAGGAACAGCACACAGTCAGCCTGCTGGCACAGCTTGCCAGGGCATCTCTCCAAGCAGACAGCAGCCACTCTCTGTGGGGCAGGAATTAGCATCTAACTAGCTCCATCCAGCTCTCAGGAATACCCGCTCTTCAGCTCAGCCCTCCTCTTGACCCCTTAACAATCAGCTGCTCCAAAGTGCTACCCCATAAACCACATCATATTGCACATTCACACTTAAGCTAGGCTGTTTTTTTTGTTCTTTTTCTGTGGTCTTTGGAAACATTGGGCAGGATTTGAGCTGAAAGCTCCACACCACACAATATCCCTCATCATCTCCATCTGCAGGCCAGCCTCCCCTTTTAACAAATGAGAAAGGTGTTTGTGTTGCACCAAAAGGGTGGGAAGGCAAAGGTGGGCATTTACTTACCATCTCCGTCCACAGCAACAGAAGAGTTATGCTCAGCACCTCTCTTAGCAACACAGCAAACAGCTGCAAAAACAATTGCTAATTGAGCAGAAGAAGCAAGATGCTACCTCAGAACATGCAAAGATGATCCTGCATTCTCTAATGGGCTCACAGCTGCTTCAAGCTTCCTCCAGGTCTCCCCTGACCTTTCTTCTCAC